AGAAAACTTGTAAGCCCGTCTTCAGCCTATAACTGATTGGAATACCTAAAAGGGGTTCTAGAACTTGCCCAGTGAAATAGGCCTTTGCAAAACCTTTGCAGTGTATAGGGTCTTAGGTGGAATCCTGAGTCCCATCCAGAACCTTATGAGGTGAGACATTCCCACTAGCAAGGACAAGCAGATCAGCCTGGAACAGTTAGAGCAACAGAAGATACATCTTCAAAGAAAGATCATCAGGAAAAAACCAAAACAAAAATGTCAGCATGACTGGCTATTACAAGAATAAGCAAGCTGTTCACCAGGAAGCCATCAAGGCAAGCATCAGGACAAAGTCCCCTCTAAGACTGAAACTCATAGGGAACACGTGAATAGGCATGTAAACTTGTTGGTGACCACATTGGTCTACTGGTGAGTGGAAGAGGTGGAAAGGTAGCAATGAAGAAATGGGCTGAGTTCAGCCACAGTCTGTTGACTCCTGTTGACCTGGAAATGAGAGAGATAAGAGGAAGGGCTGATTACTCCAAAATGTGGTGAGACCTGGGGACACTTGAGCCCATAGAGGGCTAGAGCTGAGAGTGAAGCATCCAGCTGATATGAAGTGAGGGGAGATGCATAAGAACATCCAAATTTGAAGACAGTACCCATTTTACCTAGCCTCGATGGATTGATAATGAGAACTCAACTAGAGGAAGATTACAACAAAAACATTTTTTTTTAAATATAGGAAATGAGGGTAAATTGTTACAATTTGATGGACCTGCCCTATGCTCATGCTATCCCTTCTGTACACAGGGTAGATAGGGACAAGCAACTTAGACATTGGCTACCTAAAATGAGGGGGCAATAAAGGCATGGAGTGACTGGCTTACAAGGTTTCAAGAGGGAGTTTAGTTTAAGAGTGTGTGGGGGGAGAAGGAGTCCCTGCTGAATAGTTTTCATCTTATCTAGATGGGTCTGGTGGAAAGAGATGGGGATAAAATTTGTATGATTCAATAGTGAATAATTGTTACCATGACTAATTGCGACTGTCACAATTGTAAAGGTAGAAGTTTTATAATAAAAACAGGGGAGCAGTTAGTCTTACAGTCCAGAAACAGAGGACCCTAGGACCATCAAGGAAGAAGAGCACAAACAGAATGTGGGACCTTATCCAGAGAAGTAGCAATGCCAGAGAAGGAGGCAGAGATGGGGTCATGGAGAGGGGGAGTGGCTGAGGACTCTATATTCATGGGAAGACAGGGACTAAGAGCTGGTGGCCAGGAGGCAGACTTGCAGAATGTGCCCTTTGGAGAGGTGTAAATTATTTCATATGCCTGAGTGTGTGTTTGTTTCATTGTTTTTCTAAGCTTAAGTGAATAGAGAGACATTCTGTTAACTGATGGTACATGGAGAGGATTATAATCATTATAATGAAACAAGGTGTATGGTTTGTTGAATGTAAAACTTGTCATCTGCACTGTCAACTTTTACTCAATCCACAATAAAAACCTTAAAAAAAAACAACAGTGACAATACCAAGTGCTAGTAAAAATGCAGAGAAACTAGATCAATTATACATTTCTGGTTGAAATGTAAAAGGACACAGTTTCTCTGGAAAACAGTGTGGTGTTTTCTCATAAATCCAGACATTTAACTAATCATATGACCCAGTACTTGCTCTCTTGGAATTTATCTCAGAAAATACAAATTTATGTTCACATAAAAACCTGTGCACAAATGTTATAGCTGTTTTATTTGTAATAACAAACCTAGAAATAATTGACGTGTCATTCAACAGGTTACTGGCTAATCCAGCTAGTATCCATGCCACTCAGCACTAAAGAGGAACAAACTATTGATATGTGTAGCAACTGCGGTGAATCCTCAGTAAATTATGTTGAGTGGAAAAAGTCAAGCCAAAGGGTTATAATGTGTGTGATTCCTTTTATATAACATTTTTGAAATGACAAAATTTTAGAAATGGATAACAGATTAGTGATTGCTATGGAAGTTTAAGTCCTGGTGTGGTGCTATAGGATAATCACCCGACTACAACATCAGTTTGAATTATAAGATCGAGGTTCAAACCCACCAGCCACTCCTTAGAAACCCTATGCAGGGTCGTTTTGAGTCAGAACTGACTCGACAGCACTTAACAACAACAACAACATAGTAGAAATTAGGAAGATGGAAGTGGTATTATAAAAGACCAATATGAGGGATCTTTGTGATAGAACTGTTCTATATTTTGACTGTGGGGACAGATATATGAGCCTATGTTGTTGTTGTTAAGTGCCATCAAGTTGGTTCTGACTCATAGTAACTCTGTATAGGATTTCCGAGGAATGGCTGGTAGGTTTGAACTGCAGACCTTGTGGTTAGCAGTCCAGTGCTGATCCTACAGCACCGCACCAGGACTCCGTGTGTATGTGTGTGTGTGTGTGTCATATGGTGATGGTGGGTGTCGTGTGCCACCAAGTCAGTTCAAACTCATAGCAACCCTATATAGGGTTTCCAAGGCTGTAAATCTTTTTGGGAACAGAAGCCTTATATTTTTTCCCATGGAGCAACTGGTAGATTCAAACTACAGACCTTTTGGTTAGTAGTTCAGCTCATAATCCACTATACGGCCAGGGCTCCATATATATATGTGTGTGTGTTTATATATTCAGACTCTTGGTGTAGCACTGTAGGAGAAGTACAGGACTGTGAACCACAAGGTTGGTGATTCAAACCCACCAGCTTCTCCTCAGAAACCCTATACAAAGTCATTATGAGTTGGAACCGATTCAGTGGTACTCAATAATAACAATATATACATGTTCATAAGGAGCTCTGGTAGCGTAGTGGTTATGAATTGGGCTGTGAACTTCAAGGTCAGCAGTTCGAAACTTTCAGCTGTTCCGCGGGAGAAAGATGAGGCGTTCGGCTCCTGTAAAGATTTACAGCCTAGGAAACCCTGGACAGAGTCGCTATGAGTCGAAACTGACTCCACGGCACATATCAACAACAACATACATGTATATATATATCCTGGTGTGGCGCTGTGGGTTGATACACCAGACTGCAAAGCCATTTGAACTGTAAGATCGGTGGTTCAAGCTCACCAGCTGCTCCTTGGAAACCCTATACAGGGTCACTATGTGTCGGAACCAACTCGATAGCACTTAACAACAACAACACAGGTAGTGTAGTAGTTACGAATCGGGCTGTGAACCTTAAGGTCAACAGTTCAAAACTACCAGCTGTTCCATGGGAGAAAGATGAGGCTTTCTACTCCCATAAAATTTACAGCCTTGGAAACCCTGTACAGGATCACTATGAGTTGGAACTGATTCCACAGCACATTACAACGACAATATATATATTGCTGTTAAGTGCCATCGAGTAGATTCTGTCTCATAGTGACCCTGTAAGGTATCAAATGTCCATCAACAGTGATGGATAGTTATACAATAGATTATAACTCAGCAATAAAATGAATGTAATATTGATCCAAATAATTATTTGAGAGAAGAAAACTAGGCAAACAATAGTATATATCAAATGTTTAGTGCCATTGAGTCAACTTCAACTCATAGTGATGCTGTATAGGGTTTCTGAGGCTTTAAATCTTCATGGGAGCAGAAAGCCTCATCTTTCTCCTGTGGAACGACTGGCAGGCTCAAATTACAGTCTTTGTAGTTCTCAGTCCAGTGCCTATCATGTGGAGCCACTGTGTGTATACATATATATGTGTGTATGTGTGGCATTGTGGGTTAATGCACTGAACTGCAAGGTTGATTTGAACCATAAGGCTGGGAGTTCAAGCTCACCAGATGTTCCTTGGAAACCCTATACACAAGGTTACTATGGGTAGGAACCAACTCAATTTTATGATATTATGATATTATGATAACTATATACAACAACACCAATTTGTGTGTGTGTAGTTATCATAATATAATATATAGATACACACACATACATATGCATGCACTGTAGTCCTGACGTGGCACTGTAGGATAAGCACTGGCCTACTAACCACAAGTTTGGTGGTTCAAACTAGTCACTCCTCAGAAACCCTATATGCTCTGAGTCAAAACCAACTTTATGACACTTAACAACAGTGGTTATAAAATTGTATACAACTAATTACACACACTACTATAAGTATAATTGGGGAAATATGAGTAAGATCAGTGGATTTTATTAATGTCCATATCTTGATATTATTATTATTTACGATACTGTATTATTGTTGCTTTACAAGAGGTTACTATTGGGCAAACTGGATATTTCTCTGTACTTTTTATAATGCATGTGAACCTATAGTTATCTGAAAATAAGTTTAATTTTTAAAAAGATAAATTTCTGGCAAATCAAATGGTATACTTTACATGCCTTCAATCTACTGCATATGCTTCCATAAAGCTATTTAAAGTTGTAATGCTATAAGAGGTCAATGGATTCTTTAGGGTTTTCTTCTCCTGATACAATGGACTAGAAAGAGAATTTGAAATTTGAACTTACTCATGACTTACATCATGAGCAGTCTTACTCATGGGTTCATTTCTCATATGGGCAGAATGAAGATCTGACTCTTTTAGTGAAGGAAATGGAGCAGGGGAGACGTGACCTGGAGAAGGTGCAAGACCTTTATTCTGAGTCCTTGATCATGGACTGGTGGTACAATGGAGAAAAGGAAGGCGACAAGAAGTGAGTCTGCTCTCCTGCCTCTCTTCTCTTCATCACTGGAGGTCCTCTCAGATGCTCTGCTCACTCTCCTAGAGTCTCTGTGGGATTTATTTTAGTGGAAAGAATTACATGGTGAAGTTAGGATTTTTCAAGCAGAGAATTCATAATGTAGTAATTCAGTAATGATGGGCTCAAGGAGACCACATGTTCAAATTTATATGTGAGTTCTGAGCACCTCGCAGCACACCTGAGAACACTTTCCAATTTTGTCTCCACCCAAGGTGGACAGGCCCCACAGGCCACAGACAGTGAGTGACAGGGGTGCTGGGTAGTGGAAGAACACTTGACTTAGGCATCAGGAGAGCTATGCTATGGACTTTACTCTGTGTAGCGTTGGTGAATTTCATTACTTGTCTACAGTCCTCTCCATTTCTGTGGGTCTCAGTTTCTCATCTTTAAAATGGCAGCTGTGATGTAAGGGTTGGAGTAGATTATTTCTAAGATCTTTCCCTGCCCTGCTGTTGTCAGTTACCACCAGTCCATTATGACTCTAGGGGACCCCATGTGTGCAGAGTAGAACTTCTCCATAGGATTGTCAAGACTATGATCTTTTAGAAGCCTGTTTTCCAAGATGCTTCTGGGTGGGTTGAACCTCCAGTCTTTTTGATTAATAATCTTTCTTTATCCACTTTTTATTTAAATTAAAGCAAGCACCAAAAGGAAATCTGTTCGATGGTTTCAACAACATGTACAAAACCTCAACCTGAAGTTGAATCAACTGAAACATTATCCCCATCTGTATCAAAAGCACAGTGGGGCCTTCCAAATCAAATGATTCAGAAAAAGAAGGTCCTCCATGCAGGTACCATTGAACATAATGACTTAAATCTAATCAACAGTTTTCTTTCAATGTGAAAGGTAGAATAAAACTAAGCCCACATAGTACAGGCAGTTGCTAGGTTATCAGTGTTTGACTTACGTATAACCGGTAGTTGCAGATCAACCCCATAAAGCCTAATAAATATTCAAGGTACATATTTCTTGTTACTACTGCACTTTATGTTTAAGATGTTTTAGTGTCTCTAGAAGTATTTCTTTAATATTTTTTAGGCATTGAAAGGTTCACTTTATATTGTATACTAAGACAAATAGTTCACTACTTGATGTGAATTATACAAACAGTACCTAACTCTTCTCACCTATGTACAATTTCAACTTAAAGACATATTTAGAAATTGAATTTAGTTCATAATCCAGGAACTGCCTGTATTATATAAGAAACCCTAAACCAATGTTGCTGCTTTTTTTATTGGAATTTTTATTGAGATAATTTTACAGCCACATGCAGTTGTCAGAAATAATATAGGCAGAGGTATGTATGCCTCAGAATCATGATGGACAGAACACGTTTACAGTTTAGTGTGTTTTCTGTTATCAAATTTGAAAACTGAACAAGCAGGTGAAATTTATCAAAGACTTGGGTGACTATGTAACCAGCTTGCACAAGATGGGGGGCCCTGGATTCTGGCCTGGCGGAGTATCTCTTTGACAAGCACACCCTGGGCGACAACGATGGAGAGAGCTGAGCTTTAGCCTGACTTCCTGTGGGCCAGCAAGGCAGCCACATGAATGTTTGCTTTACCTTTCCTTTTTCTACAAAATGTACCAAAACCTTCTACTTAGTCCTTTCATTTGTACCAACCAATCCTTCAGATAAAGTAAGTTGATACCCTTAAAAAAAAAAAAAAGACAAAGAAAACTAACCAACATGTCTTGTAACAGTTAAGTGCCATCAAGTTGGTTCCAACTCATTGCTGTTGTTAAGTGCCATCTAGTCGATTCCAACCCATAGCAACCCTGTATTGGGTTTCCAAGGAGTGGCTGGTGAGCTTGATCTGCCGACCTTGCAGTTCAAACCAACCTTGCAGTCTAGCACATTAACCCACAGCGCCACACTAGGAGATCCAAAATTTTTGAGGGAGCAGAAAGCCTTACCTTTCTCCCAGGGAGCAGGCTGACAGGCTTGAACTGTTGACCTTATGCTTCACAGTCTGGTGCCTAGCATATGGAGCTACCGCACAGTCCAGCACATGAACCTGCAGCGCCACACCAGGAGTTGGCACAGGCTTAATATCTGAACCACACAGATTAAATGTATTTGCTAAGTGTTCAGTTTCTCTTTGAAAGAGTCCAACCAACCCAAACTACACCCATTGACTTTGGGTCCATTGCAAACCACAGCAGTCCCAAAGTACAGAGTCCCATGGATTTTCCAAGACTGTAATCTTTATGGGAGTAGAGTGCCACATCACAGTAACTGGTGGGTTCGAACTACCAACCAGTTGGTTAAGAGCCAAATGTTTCATCATTGTGCTACCAGAGCTCTTTACAGGACACAGCTGAGGGTAGAAAATACTATTAGAAAATCGTCTAGACATTACTTGTGGTGGACAGTATTTCTAACATGGAACCTGGGACTATGATGAGATTTCACTTCCATGCTTATGTCATATTGACCTTAGAAAACACCAGCAACAACCAGTTGCCATCAAGCTGATTCTGACTCAAGGTGACCTCGTGACCTCTGCAGAGCAGAGCTTCTCCATAGAGTTTTCACGGCTGTGCGACCTTTTAGAAGTAGATCACCAGGACTTTCTTCTGAGACACCTTTGAGTGGGTTCAAATCACCACCCATTCAGTTAGTAGTCCAATGCTTAAATGTGTGGGCCATGGAGTCCTGGGGTGACCTTAAGAAAGGGTTATCCAAGTGTTCCTGGTATAATCATGATGGTGGTGGTGGAGGTGATGTGCCGTGGAGTCAGTTCCAACTCATAGCAACCCTGCATAGCGTTTCTAAGGCTGTTAATCTTTATTGGAGCAGAAAGCCTCATCTTTCTCCTGTGGAACAGCTAGTAGTTTCAAACTGCTGACTTTGAGATTAGCAGCCCGACTTGTAACCACTATGTTACTGGAGCTCCTTGGTATAATCATATAAGTCTTTAAAAGCAAAGCACTTTCTCTAGCTGGTGACAGAAAAGAAATTAAAAACACAGGCAATTCAAGGTGCCATTGCTGCCTCGGAGACCTGGTGTGGCGCTGCAGGATAATGTGCTGGACCATAAGGTCCATTTTGAACCTTAAGGTCGGTGGTTCAAACCCACCAGCCACTCCTTGGAAATCCTAATCAGGGTTGCTATGGGTTGGGACCGACTTGACAGCATTGAACAACAACAACATTGCTGAATGGGAGATGGATGGCGCCATTTAGGAGTGAAGGAAGGAACTAAGGGAGGGCCCTGGCTGACAGGCAGCTAGGAAACAGAAACCTCATCCTACAGCTGCAAGGAGCTGGATTCTGCCGATGAGTTCAATGGACTTGAAAGCCAAGTTCTCCCTGGAACTGCCTCAGGAGAGCCAAGTACAATCCACTCCTTAATTTTTGTCTTGAGAGACCCTGAATAGAGAACCGGGAGCCCACCTAAACTTGTGACAAGTAGAGCTTTGAGGTAATGCATTTATTGTTGTTGTGAAGTGCCATTGAGTTGGTTCTGACCCATAGCGACCCTGTAAAAGGGTTTCCAAGGAGCACCTGGTAAGCTTGAACTGCCGACCTTACAGTTTAAATGGCTTTGCAGTCTGGTGCATTAACCCACAGCGCCACATCAGGACTCTGAGTTAATACATAGATGGTGTTTTAAACTACTACATTTGTAATTATTTATCACAACAATAGAACGCTAATCCAACAACCTAAAGACTCTTGGTTTTAGGTGTTTGTGTCTCACCAGTGGACTTGGGAGAGTTTAGAAACCTGTAGGTCTTGCAGTCTCATTCTTACAAGTAATTTCAGGGGACTCTCTTCTCCTATCAAGAGCTTTAAATAGCACTCCCTGCTCTGTTCCTTGTCAAAGAGTGGAAATGTATAGATAATTTGACTTTTTCATCCTGCCATCCAAGTCAGATCTCATCTCCTTCCTTGTCTCTTTTGGGCAAACCTAAGATGATAAATTGATGTCAGGCATTTAAAAAGTTACCTGAGGACTCGGGAAGTGGAGCAGGAAGGAAGGGCCTTGGGAGGGTTCTGGATGAATGGTCATGGTTATGTCAGACCACACCATGCAGGGTGAAGTCCGTGGAACAAAGCCAAAGTCAGAGCCAGGAAGGAAAAGGTAGTCAAGTAGTAGATGGAGAAAAGCTGGATTGAACGTAGTGTGATAGTCATGCTAGGGAAGGTCAAAGGGTAAGTCACAGGAGGCCAGTTGTTTGGGATCGGGGCCTGGTCAGGCTGATGTAGTCAGAGACATCTTGGATGCTAGCTGTGCAAGACGGGAGTCCACTAAGGTGTCTTTGCAGTGCAGGGAGGTGGGAAGGAAGGATTGCTGATGACAAACAACTGTTACCTAGGTTTTTAATTTATTTTCATTTTATTTGATGAAGCTGGTTTATTGGGTTATTTTAATGACAGGAAACCAAATAACATGAAGTTGGCCTAACATGTTCTTCTGAATCTGCATACTGTCTTTGTTAGAGAAGAACACTTACATTTGCTGCTGCTCTTGCTGTTTAAACACATTGTAAGGATATTCAAGGCTTTTGTGCTTGATTTTAATCACCTTCTATGCAGCCTTGGAGCCTTGGTTGTAGTTGCTGCTAAGTGCCAGGGAGTCTGTTCCAACTCATAGTGACCCTGTATAGGGTTTCTGAGGATCTGCTGGTGGATTTGAACTGCTGACCTTGCGGTTCAAACCAACCTTGTGGTGCATTGTTTACACGCTGTGCTGTTAACTGCAGGGTCCTTAGTTCGAATCCACCAACTGCTCCACAGGAGAAAGAGAGACTTTCTGTTCCCATAAAGATTCATAGCCTCAGAAATGCTATTCAGGGGTTACTATGAGCCAGAACCTACTAAACGGCACATAACACCACCAACAAATATGCAGCCTTATCACATTTAAAAATTTGAAACCATGTCTCCAGACTTGCCTCCAAGATGGACAGAGTTTGAGCTCTGATAAAGGGAGGAAGTCATTACTGTAGACTTCAAATTATGGGAAAGAAAAGCTACATTCCTCTTTTAAGGATCCAAGGCAACTGTTATCTGTAATCAAGCGTCTTCTTCCATCTCAAATTCCTTTAACACTTCTCTTTGTGATACCAACAGAACCTACCAGAACCAGCCTGCTCAGAAGCCAAATGTCCACCTTGAAGAGCTCAGCCTGCAATGAAAAGAAGGATGGCCTCTCCAACTGCAGCAGCTGGACGGTCACTTCAAGTGACCAAGGGAAGCCAGAAGAAGGTCTGTATCTCAGGAAGCCAGGCAGATCTCGCTTTACCTGGTATATCTGTTCTGAAAGAGCTGGGGAAACAAATCATATTTTTAATGGACCCAGATGGCTTCTTATTTAAAGGACTCCCTTCACTTGTAACTCAGGTTTGCCTGCTTTAGGGAACGGGATTTCTTTGGTAGCGTAGTGGTTACGAATCGGGCTGCTAACTTCAAGGTCGGCGGTTCAAAACTACCAGCTGTTCTGTGGGAGAAAGATGAGGCGCTCTGCTGCCGTAAAGATTTACAGCCTCAGAAACCCTATCCAGGGCCGCTATGAGTCGGAACTGACTCCACGGCATACAACAACAGGAGCATTTGGACTGATTCTGCCTCAGCCTTTAATGCATGCATGGTTCACATACTTGAAGTGTTCATGATAATGTTGGCCCCACTCCATGGATTGAAATTGAAACTTTAATACTTCCTGGTTGATTTACTGTCTTTCCTCATTCATCTGATGAGCCCCTCTCTGGTTCAGCTTGTCAGTCTTTTGGGAGCTAAATGTGAGGAAAATAAGACTTCCACTCAATTTGCATTACTGTTGATCACATTATTATTCATATAATAATACATTTTTCAAAGTTTAATTCCTATAGTACTTTTTCTATATTTAAAACAGTTGATAAATAAAACTCAGTTTAAAAATACATATGCATACAACCCCCTGATCAGAAAGCACGTGAGTAACAAATTCATACATGTGGTTACCCAGTAACAGCGTAATCAAACCCTGCTTTCTTCAGTGCTGACCTATACGACTGTTTCAGTTAGCCTAGTTTCACATTTCCTGAGTACAATACCTGCCCAGCCTTGAAAGGATTTGCCATATAATGATCAGGATGTGATTTCTTAGGCACTGGACTGACTCACTCCCACACCTACCCTTCCAGGTGCTGCTGATACAACTAGGTAATAGTTCTTTCCATTTATAAATCCAAGTTTATGTAAGGATCTGTGCTTAAAACATTAATTTAAAAAACTTGAACCTACAATTAGACAGAGCCTAACAGTGCTTTTGTTTTTTCATATAGAGCTGAGGAACAAATTCTTGGAAAATAAAATTTTGGTCAAGACACTCCGGCATAATTTAGGGAAGTCCAATGATGCCAACATTTAAAATCAATATATGATTTATATAGATTATAACATTTCTACATATATGAAATAAAATAAGAATTATATATGTATATATTTCTCAGGAATCCTGGTGTGGCACTGTAGGATAAGCACTGGACTGCTGACCACAAGTTTGGCAGTTCAGACATTCCAGCTGCTCCTCAGAAACCCTATACACGGTTGCTATGAGTCAGACTGAAGCCATGACACTGAACAATGTATGTTGTTGTTATGTGCCATCAAGTAAGTTCCGACTCATTGAGACCCTGTATAGGGTTTCCAAGGAGCGGCTGGTGAGCTTGAACCAACAACCTTGTGGTCCATCACTTTATCCTACAGCATCATACCTGGACTTCTTAACAATGTATACCTTCACATATATTTTAGCTTTCTAAAAGGAAAGCTAATCCAAGGATAAAAACATAAGCTGTATATGAACTGGGTGGACTCTATATCCTTTAATTGTTATTGTTAAGTGCCATCAAGTCAGTTCTGACTCATAGTGACCCTGCATAGAGTTTCCAAGGAGTGGCTGGTATGTTTGAACTGCCGACCTTTTGGTTAGCAATCCAGTACTTAATCTATAGCACCACACCAGGACCCCATCAATACTCCATGAATATTTTTTGTTTGTTTGTTTGTTGTTTTTTAATTTTTTTACTGTGAATCAAATTAGCTTCCCATTCATCAATTCATACCCGTTTTGTTTCATGTTACTGATTGTAATCCCCAGAGTGCTACAGCACTTGCCTACTTCCTCCCTGTACTTACTATTTCCATTCCTCCTTCTTTCCTAGTCCCTATGAACTTTGTCCTTGGATAGATGCTGCCCTTTTTAAATCTTAAATGATTGATTATTCTAATGTATGTTAACTTCCCTAGTGTATTATTGCTGTCCTTATAAACCTGTCTGGCTGAAAATTGAGCCATGGGGGTGAGTTCATTTCCAGACCTGGAGAGGGACTGAGTCTCAGGGCCTCCACCAGTCTCTCTCTGACTAGTAAGGCTGGTCTGTTTGTTGTTTTTATAATATTGAGTTTTGTTCCACATTTTTCACCCTCTTTATCCAGGACCTTCTAATGTGAATGGTAGTGGTTGTTGTTGTTAAGTGCCATGGAGTCAGTTCCAACTCACAGCGATCCTGTATAGGGTTTCCAAGGAGTGGCTAGTGAGCTTGAACAGCCAACCGTGTGGGTTCAAACTGACTTCGTAGTTCAGTGCACTAACCCACAGCACCACACCAGGACTCCATGGTAGTGGTCGTTGGATAATTATTTCCTATTTTAAAAATGTGTTTCCTGGAGAATGAGAAGATGAATATAAGACTATTCTTCCATGAAGAGAGAACTCAGTGAATATGGGCGAAGTAGATAAGCAAATGACAAATGATGACATATATCTACACCAGGGCTTTTATTGTAAATTGCAAATAAATCTTGTTTTAGAGTTCAGTGTGATAGAACAAGTTGTGTTCTCTGAAATATGGTCCATTTATTGGTCTTCAATCATGTTGGGACTCAGAGACAACTAGAATCTTTTTGCATTTTGATATAAACACCACATAGGAGGAAATTATACAACTACCATTTCTCTTTCCACAGAAATGAACATTATCCTGCTGACAGAGGAGCTTACAGATGACAGATCGCTTGAAAGATCTGCTCAAGAAGGAAGCCAAATTTATGACCAAGAGTGAGCATTTTAATTTTATTAGGACAGTTTCATTATGTTTTTGTTTGTTACCTATCAAGTTATAATTTTTAAATCATGGCAGTCTTGTATTTTCAGTTCTTTAGATGTGTCTTCAGCAAACTGGCTCAAGACCCATGGCTTGATAGCCAAGAAACTTACCATCATGGATGCCTTGTCAGCAACAGCAGTCCCTCACAATGCCACCTACATTCCAGTTCTGGACAAGCATGTTGTTTCCAAGGTCTTTGATGAGGTAAAACGGATTGCTCATATGTCCCTGACTAAAGACTTTTTCATCTTCTACTCAAATAAAATGTAGTCCATTTCAATTTGTACAGTTGTAACTGGTGTGGCGCTGTGGTCTAATGCGTCAGACTGCAAAGTCAGTTTGAACTTCAAGGTCGGTGGTTCAAGCTCACCAGCTGCTCCTTGGAAACCCTATACAGGGTCGCTATGGGTCGGAATTGACTCGACAGCACTTAACAACAACAGGAATGTACTTTAGTCACAGAAGGGAAAAAAATACATATATTTTATATATAAAGTCAGTGAAAGAGAGACTCTTGAGCATTTTTTAAAGCTGAGATGAAACTGACCTTTGTTGGGTTGACAGTTCTTGGTTAGCTGCTGATACGTGGCAGTATGGAGCTATGAAGTTAATGTGAAAAATTTCTAGGTCTGAGTCAAGATGGTGCATCATCCAGAATCCAATGACCAGTGAATTTATGAGTGGCTATTTTCTTTATTTGCCATCTTCTCTTCTTAAATAGACTGGTATTTTTTTTTTTTTTTCTTTATTATGTCAGAGAGAAGAAAAAGAGGAAAAGACAGAGAGAGAGAGAGAGAACCCTTAGAGTCTTTGTCCTAGGAGGAGACAATCACTTCCAGTAGGATGATGTGGTAGCATTAAATGTGGAAGGAGGTGAAATAAGTACTGAAAAGTTTCCATTGCATTTAGCAGCAGGAAGGTCTATCTCCTTAGCAAGAAAATTCCAGTAGAGGATCCAGATTGTAGTGGGACGAAGAACACACACAAAAAATGAGACAATGAAGATTAGATGCTGATACTTCTTTCAAATATACCACTAACTAGTAATCCTGGCATGGCTCTGTAGGATAAGCATTGAGCTGCAAATGGCAAGGTCAGTCTTTCAAACCCATTAGGAGCTCCTTAAACACTTTGCATGGTTGCTATAAGTTGAACACGAGTCAATGACACTTAACTCCAAGAACAGTTTCAATCAGGCTTTAAAGTCACTAAATAGAAAATATATCATTAGAAGACCTTGCTTCATAAAGATATTTACAGAGAAAATGAGAGGATTTTTGGCATTTGCTTCAAAATAATCTGGGTAGTGGGAGTGGGGGAAAATGTGGATGAAACAAGATTAGTCAGGGGCAGATAATCGAACATGGGGAGGGGGCTCAATTTGCTCATATTCTGTACTGTTTTAAAATATATTTGAATTTTTCTATAATAAAATCATGTTGAAAAAAATCATAAGTAGGTAAACTTTAAAAAAAAAACAAAACCCAACTTTATCTAATTTGCCTTACAGTAGCCAAGATTTGATGTATTTGGAAGAAGTAAATTGGTAAACTTTTCCATTTTTCTGTTAGTCATATATTGAAATTTTTGATAAAATCCATGGAGTCCTGGTGTGATCCTGTAGGATAAGCACTGAACTGGTAACTGTAAGGTCAGTAGTTCAAACCCACCAGTAGCTACTTGGAAACCCTGCACAGGGTTGCTATGAGTCAGAACCAATACAATGGCACTTAACAGCAACTGCATGGAGTTCAACATGTATTCTGGTTTAATAGGACCAGTTATTACCAGGAAGGTTGGTTGTATATATATTATCATTTGACTAGTTTCGTGACTGGTTTACTGAAAAATGAGAGGCCTTGTTTTTGGCTGTAATACTTGTGATGCGATTTCATTGACACTTCAGTAAACTCTAAACTTATTAGTCAGATATCAGCTTAATCAGTTCAACTTTACCTCTTTCAGAAGCAGTGGCAAAAAAAAACTAACAATGCTGTATTTCTTCTTAGAAATTGAGTGATAGTTTCTCGTATTTGGTTAATTTACTGTTCTTAAGTTTTCTTTTCCTACACTACTGCCAGTTGGCTTGTATGTTGCCATGAAGCTGGAAGCTATGCCATTGATGTTACAAATACCAGCAGGGTCATCCGTGGTGGACAGGTTTCAGTGGAGCTTCCAGACGAAGAACAGATGAAGAAGAAGGAATAGGTGGTCCCCTTCTGAGTGATTAACCCCTGAAAACCTTGAGAATAGCATTAAATAGTGTCGCATATAGTGGCAGAAGATGAGCCTCTCAAGTTGGAAGGCACTCAAAATACTACTGGGGAAGAGCTGCCTCCTCAGAGTAAAGTTGACCTTTAATGACATGGATGGAGCTAAACTTTTAGGACCTTCATTTGCTGGTGGGGCCCAACTCAAAATGAGAAGAAATAGCTGTAAAAATATCCACTGATAATCAGAACATGGGATGTATAAAGTTTGAATCTAGGAAAATTGAAAAGTCATCAAAAATGAAATGGAACACAAAGATTGGTACCCTCAGCATTAATGAACTGAAATGGACAAGTCTTGGTCATTATGAAATGGATAGTCATATGGTTTACTATGCTGGAAATGACGAGTTCAATTGGCACATTCATTGTCAAAATGAAGTACAATGCAGTCTGTGATAGTATGATATCTATATCCCTACAAGGAAGACAATTAATAAATTATTATTCAAATTCATTGACCAACCACCAAAGTTATTAATGAACAAATAGAAGAATTCTACCAACTTCTTTAGGAGCACATTGACTCTAAGGATAAGCACTGGACTGAAAACTACAAGGTCTGAAGTTCAAGTCCACACACTGCCTTGCTAGAAAAAGATGAGGCTTTCTGCTCCTGCAACCATTTACAGCCTCAGAAACCTTATACATGGTCACTATGAGTCAGAAGTGACTTGACGGCACTTAACAACACCACCAACCTGCTTCTTCAGTCTGAAATTGATCAAAATGCAATCAAGATACATTGATAATTACTGGTGACTGGAATGTGAAAGTTGGAAACAAGCATGTAGTTTAAGTATTGGATTGTATACTGTCAAGTTGGCAGTTCAAACCCACCAGGCACTCCTTGATGGGTTGGAAAATATTGCCTTATTGCTAGAAATAATACTGGAGATTACATGATAGAATTTTACAAGACCAACAACTTCTTCATTGCAAATACCTTTTTCTAACAACAGAAATGGCAGATATACTGGAATCAATTGGCTACATATGTGGTAAGAGACAATAGAGAAGTTCAATATCACCAGCCAATTCCAGTTGTGGATTGTGGAGCAGACTATCAATTGATCATATGCAAGTTTGTGCTGAAGTGAAAGAAAATTAAAACAAGTTCACAAGAGCCAAAATACAACCTTGAGTATATCTCACCTGGATTTAGAGATCATCTTAAAGACAGATTTAACACATAGAACATTTATGAATGAAGACCAGATAAGTTATGATATCAAGAACATCATACATGAAGAACGGAAAGGCTCATTGAAATGATGGGCAAGAAATAAAAGACCAAAGGGGATGTCAGAAGAGAGGGACCATGAAAGTGGAGCAGGGTAGAGAATAGACATGGGATAGTTTGGGTGTTAGGGAGCGGGGCAATACACAAGAAGGGAGGGGAATGGAAGAACAAGGTGGATGGGAAAACAATTAAGCAGGTTTGCATGGACTAAGTGGAACAGAGGTAAATAATGAAGTATGCACAACCTTGGAACAACAGGGCTCTGGGATATAGGGATTGAGACATGATTGGAATGGGCAAAATGGGGGAAATAATGTTAAGATGCTTGGCTGTCTTTTGAATCTTGGTTACCTGGGCATACCATTATAAAATAGACACTGGAAGGGGAGAGAAAGGAATAGCCAGAAATATCACCATAGAAAGCTTGTAAGTCCGTTTTCTGCCTATAACTGATTGGAACACTTAAAATGGGGCTACAAGTGTCCAGTGAAGGAGGCTTCCTGCGGAGCCTGTGCATTACATAAGACCATAGTTGGAATCCTGAACCTCGCCCAGAATCTTCTGATGTGAGAAATTTCTACTTGAAAGGACAAACAGACCAGCCTGAAGCGACTAGAAGAACAGAAGATACTTCTTGAAAGAAAGACCTACAGGAAAAATACAAAACAATAACGGCAGTCCAACAGATTACTATAAGAACAAACAAGCTGATTGCCCAAGAGCCCTCAAGGCAAATGGTCAGGTCCCCTCAGGGCAAACCCCCTTCCAAGACTAATATTCAGTGGGAATACAAGAGCAGACATGCACTCTGATTGGTGACTATGTTTGTCACCGATAAGGGGAAGCGAGGGAAAAACAGCAATGAAGCTGCGAGTTAAGCCCTAAAACGTTCAATAGACTCCTGTGAACCTGGGTGGAGACCTGGTTGGCCAGCAGTGTGGCAAGTCCTGGGGACTCTTGAGGCCAATGTCAGTGACATAGCCATAGAGAACTAGGAGAGTGAAGCATCCAGCTGATAAAAAAAAAGAGGGCATATGCATAAGAACACCCACACTTGCAGATAATACCCACTTGAGTTGGCTTCAATGACTGGATGATCAGAGTTCAACTAGAAGAAGAAAGAAGAGGGGAAAATAAGAGTAATCTGATACAATTTGATGAACTTGAACTACAGCTATGGATGCAGTAGCTCAAAAGAGGGAGCAAATCTTTAAAGCAAGGATCACTCCCACCCCCTCCATACACAGAGTAGACAGGGATAGGCAACTTGGACATTGGCTACCCTAATTGAGGGGTGTGTGTGTGTGTGTGTGTGTGTGTGTGGCGTGGGTATGCAGGCAAGAAGTGAATGGCTTACAAGCTTTCAAGAGGGAGCCTAGATCCAGAGAGCACGGAGGAAGGTAGAGTCTCCACTGAATAGTATCCAGTCTGTCTGGGCGGGGCTAATGAAAGGAGATGGGGATAGGTCCCTTGTGGTACAATAGTGAATAATTGTTATCAGGACTGGCTATGAGGGTTGGAAATGTAGCAAAATGGAGTGATTGACTTTGCAGTCCAGGAGCGGAGGTCCCTGGAACTATCAAGAGAGAAGAGCGGAGTGCAAGACCCTACCCAAAGTGGAGAGATGGAGTGGCTGGTGACTCTAGACCCCGAGAGGGAGAGAGGCTGTGTGCTGACGGCTGGGGGGCAGG